TCTCAGCATGGTTTCAGTCTGTATGATTCGAATTCGATGGTGTTGCTTCACTGCGCATATTTTTCCATCCAGCGTTGGCGCAGAACCTAAATAATGTTAGTGGGATAATAATGTTAGTGGGAACAATTTGCCGCCACCATAGCGAGAGACGCTGAATCATCAACAGCAAATGAAGGGTGAAGATGTTCTTAGCTACTACTGGGTATGTTCCCCTCACCCTCACCTGCTACTACTCAAACCCCTTTGCAGGATCATAAGTGGTGGTGGAGGTGGTAAGACCTACCCAACAGTGAAAGCTTTAACAAACGGGGTTAATCTGCCTAATCCAATTTTGGCTAATTTAATGGTGAACCAAAATCCTCTATAGAATGCATTGTCAACTGTCAAGAATGCACAACCATTTGCTATTCTTGGAGCTCAACATCCTGCATCACCCGTTGCAATTGTTCCTGGCCAAAATCAGTTGATCCACGATCACGCGATGCAACAATATGGATGTGACATCACACCAGTGTATAAAAAGCCATATCTAGATTGGGTGGATGCAGAAATTTGCTCTCTTCACTGGTGAAGACGATCAATCGACATACGAGCATGTTTCATTGTCTATAACTGCTTTCATGTGGTAACTACACTACCGGTCAATTCTGTTTTCTCTTAGGAGCAAGTGGAAAGAATGTTTCACAATCAGTTTTAGAGAGCTGTCCTTAATGTGTGTCTATGGCATATTTGTCGGTTATGAAGCTGCAGAACAATTAATCAGTCAATCAGTTCATATGTTGATTCAAGACAGCAAGGAATAAATGTTTTGTACCATTACCTGAGAAAACTTTTGCGGACCTCGCCTTCAATGACCTAAAGTAGGACAACCATAGTACGAAAGCCTGCTAAAGGAATAAATGTCTTCTTCAATTAGCATCGATGGCAATCAAACACGAAAAGCCTGCTAAAGGAAAAAGAAATAAAAGATGGCAAAGGTGATTTGAAAATGAGATGCCACAAGTTTGCAACAAAGTAAATCTTAGGTCCTGGAGGAAAGTCTTCATAGGCCCAATGATCAAAGAGAACCTAAAATCAAGGAGGCACTGCAAACTCAAAACAATCCATTTCACCTACAAATTCGCCTCATTTGTAAAAATGTCCCAAACAATGTTCCTGTACCCAAAGAGATCGTCAAATTCAAGAAAAGCTCAGTTATTCTAAGTAATAATTGACCAACCGCATCATATATACCATTCCTGGGACCACATCCTCACTCAAAGAGAATGCTCCAAGAGAAAAGAATCTACTACTAATCTTCTGGCTTAATCTAGAACAGCTCGTAAAACAACTGAACAGAAGGAGAGTGAACACAAACGATGTGATTTATATTCTGCCGATCACAATTGTCATAGTTGTCCTAATATATAAAATCACAAAATATGCTTGACAAAGTAAGAAACTGGCAATAAACAGAAACAGCTCCATGCATCCTGTGCAGGAAGCGTGAATTCCAATGTGAGGTCTTGAGAACTGTTTATCCTGAAATTCGACGTTAGCTAACATGCATAGCTCATACATCATGCGACCTGCCAAAGGAGACAACAGTATACCATCTCTATCGAAGAACAGGCGTAAAAAAGATGACAAAAACATCCTAACCACCATCCACATCATGCAAATTCCCCGCAATCATGATTCTTGCAGATATCGTTAGTGGGTACAAATCAATGCCAGCTTACCGAGGAGAAATCGGTTCTGCTTAACAAGTTCTGGAGAGTAATTGGAGAATCCATGTGCCGAGATCAACTAAACTTGTTGCCAAGATTAAAATCACTTGTGAGGCAAATTTAGATCGGTGAAGATTAAAATAAGAGCATCCAGAGGAGAGCTCCCTGAGAGTGATTACAGAGTGAACCAAACAAATTGAAAGCAGACATGGATTTGGTCTGCCATAATATCAATATCCCCATATCGCTAGTGTAAGATAGAACCATCTGATAAAGATAAGGAACAAACATAGTCAGACCCCGTCTCTAGTCCATAAAGTCAGACTCCCAACAATGTGTGCCACCTAATGACCAAGTAAGCAACAACTAGACTTGGAAGCACGATTCAAAAGCATCCATAGCTTTGGGCACACACAAATGAATTATAGTTTATCCAGTGAATTTCGCAGACAAAGATGAGATACGCAACATGATTTGCAGTCCAACCTACAAGTGAAGAAGTACACATTCCGCGCATCTCCTTTAATCCTTGAAAATAAAGATATACGCAGATATATCCAGGGTTCTAATGGAGCTATAGACAATCCATATTAGAAGGATCCAAATGTCATCTCATGGCTCCAACTAAAAAAGAAGACGATTCAGCAACTCCATTAAACAAGATCGGAATACATCGAAACCTTCTGCTTTCACTCACTTGACAAAATTGAATTCTTTAATCACTGAATCCTATACCATCTTCACGCGACACACTTAGCTGAAGAGATCCCTCCAAACGACCAAGCACCTGTCAACGGCTGAATAACTCCATTCATTTCATGCGAGCGATTTTATTAATTAAAATGATCAGCGGGAAACTTGAACCTGAATAATGTTGATGAACCTCAAGACATTCATACAGATTCAATCAGGACCTAAACCAATTCTGTTCTCGCAATAGACCATGATCATCTCCCAAAGACAAAAGAACTTACGAACAAATTTCAATCAAAACAAATAAATGCCCAGAAAGTTATCAAATTTCAGTCCATCGTCGGTCTAAGATGTGATCAAAGACTACTACTACTTCATCATGTCAACCAAAAAAAGACAGTAAACAGATTCTCAGTCCTCCAAAAAGCCCAAACGCTTTGTTCTATGAAGCAAACTGACCAGTGTCCCCCCGTTAATCGTCCTTAGACAACATACTCGGACAAGCAGTTTGCTCCAAGGGAAAAACAATCAAACGGAAAAAAAAAAAATCAACCGTTTGATAAACCCATTTTTGATCTGCGTCGTCGTTTCTAAAGGGTGGAATTTCGATCGATAGAGCAAACTTTTGGCAGGGCAATCTTTCGCCTTCTTTAGACTACACTACCGCACAACCTGAACATTTGTAACGCAAATGTACTCGTGTGAATCAGGTAATGAGCACAATAAGAAAAGGGCTCGATCCTAATCTCAATTGCTTCCTGCAAAAATCATATCTACGGTGCAAGCTAGAATCCAAAAACGTACTTTCTGTCCCACAAAGCGTTAACAGTCATCAATTCCATGGCAGTTAATTCATTTGGCCACTGGTCATGGATGATAACACTTCCCCTGAACTCATCGCCTTCTCATGAATCACCAGCTACAATCGAAACTTGTAGACTGCCTACATCGGCCCAATCCTTTTGATAATTAGTCAATGCAATCAGCATCTTGTCTGAACAAAACATTTTGCAACCTAATTTGTGTCAAAGAGCATGCATCAGACCTACAGCAACTCTTGAAGTTCATGTTGTGCATGAATTTCTCGATATTCAATTTTCCAGGGACCATATGGAAATATCGAATAATAAATGAGACAAGATCGTATACTTGCCTGTGCAAAACGGGATAACATATTAAAAATTGAATGTATATGAGTAAATAATAAATGAAGTAAGGCGATGGATTTCACCGTTTGTCCATTGACCTATGTCCATGAGTGGAATAGAAGCAAAATCACCATGCCAAGTTAATGAGTACAATGCATTGTCCTCCTGTCTGAATGACATCCACCTATCTTAGAAATGGTTCTCATTCTTCAGAAAATGTCTTGATGAAATCATGCGAAGAAATGTGAACATTACTCTATTCCTTGGACTTCTGCAGCCAATCCTCGACAAATCAATCAACTGTTTTTGAGAAATTATGACTAGACAACAACAGCGGGATGTAGATGCAGTCAAGTACATTGGGATCGATGGGGAGGTCACCATCAGGGACCGAGCGTGTCTCTTCCAGTATGTTTCTGGCCGAGCATGCTTGTTCACTTAGGAAAGAGAAACTTTAGCCTTTTGAGTCCATGCTTTTGCTGGACTTATGGGTATAATGTTATCCCCCATGGAAACATGTACATTTTCAATCTAAATGATCCTTGAGCACCTCAAAAGAGCTAGCTGAAAAGGTCTCGGATGATGATAACAATGGAAAGCAACTCCCTGCATACCCGCAATTTTTAACTACCATATGTTTTCCGAAAAGGGTACATGGTAATAACCATCGTTTAAGGAACAACATGTAAAAGCAGTACATGCATCAGATGCAGATGATTGATAGTACATTTTCAGAGCAAGCATATCGAAAACATGAAAGTCCGTGAATAAGTACAAAATTTAACAAACAAAGATCAATGCTAGTGAGGGGATAAGCAAACAATTATGAGATTGGGGTCAAAGAAATTCATAACCAGGACATGGCCTCTTTTTGGACAAGCTACAACTATGCACATAGTACCACGAGAATAACTTCGTCGAGTAATCTTTCACATCAATTCACCATATCAGTTGGACTGCACTGTGAGCATGAGTCCTCATCGAGCATGGACAAAGTGATGGAGGCATAACGAGAAGCGTGCTGCTAAAATTCTTACTCTTGTGGCACCTGAAAAGCGGCTCAAATGAAGCACTTAGGCCCTCCAAAAAAGCTTTGCACGCTAAACTGCGGGAGGTCATATGACATATATGCCACTGCATATCCATTTTTCCAAGACCACAGTAAACTAAAAACGAAAGAGAAAAGGAAAAGAAACTGGATATCCTTGATAGTTATTTCACTCTTCGGCAGAAATCACTTGCCTCAGTCTTTTCATGCCATGACCTCTAATAAGCCGTGCTCACCTAGCATCAAACATATTTGCCCATTCCGACAATGGTCAAAGGAACTGAAACTTTTCTAGAAGGAATATATCCAAGTGTATATCACACCAAAAGGAAAGACATTACCTAAAGTTGATTCGTGCAATGCAGTTAAGTTTACTTTTTGGTCCGGGATAATAATGTGAAATTGAAGAAATGAAACTAACAATGCAAGTTTTGCACTGGCATGCATCATTGCAGTTTTTATAAACAGCTGCTGCTACAAGCTTTCTCTTCCTTTACATCGCTTTAGCTTTATGGGAGTGAAAGGCAAAACTGGAAAATACAGAGTAGGCAATCTAGAAAGGAAGGACATGAACCTGTAATTTCGTCATATACAGAGATCGTTCAAGAACAATTGCCATCTTTAGTTTAGGAGCAGTCATCTTTTGGTTATATCATCTCTTACAATGGTGAAGTCCCACAGATCTCCATATTTCTCGTTGAAATCCCAAATGTCCATGGTATTGTAGTCGGCGATTAACTTATCACGGGCTCCTCTTTCCATGTTGTATATCTGGGGCTCAAAGTTGTGGGGCTTGTCAGGCTTATCCATCTCAATGATGCAAAAGACAACAGTAAAGAGAGCCGCTCCAATGTACAAGTACTCTCCCTGAACGAAAAGGAAGCCGAGGCTATCCTTAGTCATATACCAGGTTAACGGAGGGAAATATGGCAGATTGGATCGTCCTATGCTTAACAGAGCTAAATATTCCTTCATATTACCGGAACATCAAAGTACATTCCTGCAGCGACTGCTGGAAGGAAAAGCCATGAGATGAGCCCTGCAATTGGCGATTGCACCAATCAATTGTTCCTCCTTGTCCCTGTGATTAGCTGCAAATCAATTGCAAAAGGATGCTTGATATAACTATTTGTACCCTGAAAGCCAGTCGGCGGTTCAACTGCAGCGATATCTTCCGCAATTGCTCCCCAGAAAGTTCCTAGATCGGAAATCAGCAAGGGTCAACAGAAAGTTGATAGGACAAGAGGGGTAAGTACAGCGCAAGTGCCATAACTTTTGTACGGAGGACACTTAAGTGCCATAACTTTTTTTTGGCTCACTTGAGTGCCATAACTTTCAAAAAAAAGATCATTTAAGTGTCACTTACGAGCTGGTCCTGAGGGCCCGAAACCGCGGCTTTTTCGGCCGAACAATGACCTTCCCGGTGAGGCGAGCACCACCAGCTTGAAGAGGGGGTGTCGGTGAATCATTCCATGGCCTCCGTTCGTCTCGAAATTTCCGTTTTAGACTCCGTTGACGAAGGTAAAAATGCTTCGTAGCCACACATTTATCGAGTCGATTTGTGTGACTACGAAGCATTTTTACCTTCGTTAACGGAGGATAAAATGGAAATTTCGAGACGAACGGAGGCCATGGAATGATTCACCGACACCCCCTCTTCAAGCTGGTGGTGCTCGCCTCGCTGGGAAGATCACCGTTTGGCTGAAAAAGCCGCGGTTTTGGGCCCTCACGACCAACCCCTCTGACAAGCTAGTCGTGAGGGCTCGAAACCGCGGCTTTTCCGGTCGAACGGTAACCTTCCCGGCGAGGCGAGCACCACCAGCTTGAAGAGGGGGTGTCGGTGAATCATTCCATGGCCTCCGTTCGTCTCGAAATTTCCGTTTTAGCCTCCGTTGACGAAGGTAAAAATGTTTCGTAGTCACACAAATCGGTTCGATAAATTGTGTGACTACGAAGCATATTTACCTTCGTCAACGGAGACTAAAACGGAAATTTCGAGACGAACGGAGGCCAGGGAATGATTCACCGACACCCCCTCTTTAAGCTGGTGGTGCTCGCCTCGCCGGGAAGGTCACCGTTTGGCTAGAAAAGCCGCGGTTTCGGGCCCTCACGACCAACCCCTCTGACAAGCTAGTCGTGAGGGCCTGAAACCGCGGCTTTTCCGGTCGAACGGTGACCTTTCCGGTGAGGCGAGCACCACCAGCTTGAAGAGGAGGTGTCGGTGAATCATTCCACGGCCTCCGTTCGTCTCAAAATTTCCGTTTTAGCCTCGTTGTTGTGAAGGTAAAAATGTTTCGTAGTCACACAAATCGGTTCGATAAATTGTGTGACTACGAAGCATTTTACCTTCGTCAACGGAGGCTAAAACGGAAATTTCGAGACGAACGGAGGCCATGGAATGATTCACCGACACCCCCTCTTCAAGCTGGTGGTGCTCGCCTCGCCGGGAAGGTCACCGTTTGGCTGGAAAAGCCGCGGTTTCGGGCCCTCACGACCAACCCCTCTGACAAGCTAGTCGTGAGGGCCTGAAACCGCGACTTTTCCGGTCGAACGGTGACCTTTCCGGTGAGGCGAGAACCACCAGCTTGAAGAGGGGGTGTCGGTGAATCATTCCATGGCCTCCGTTTGTCTCGAAATTTCCGTTTTAGCCTCCATTGATGAAGGTAAAAATGTTTCGTAGTCACACAAATCGGTTCGATAAATTGTGTGACTACGAAGCATTTTTACCTTCGTCAACAGAGGCTAAAACGGAAATTTCGAGACGAACGGAGGCCATGGCATGATTCACCGACACCCCTTCTTCAAGCTGGTGGTGCTCGCCTCGCTGGGAAGGTCACTGTTCGGCCGAAAAAGCCGCGGTTTTGGGCCCTCACGACCAGTTCGTAAGTGACACTTAAGTGATCTTTTTTTTGGAAGTTATGGCACTCGAGTGAGCAAAAAAAAAGTTATAGCACTTAAGTGTCCTCCGTATAAAAGTTATGGCACTTGCGCTGTACTTACCCCTAGGACAAGACAATTCATTTACAGCGCGGGCAATTTCCTATTCAGCAGTCAGCATCATTAATCGCAGGTATCATTTCACGGTTAAAAGCAAAGTTACTGCAAGCAAGTCACTATTTAGCTCCACATTTTAAACTCAAAAGACTATCCCACTATTGTACCGCAAATGTAACTACTTAGTACTTTGGCTAACACCAAACTGGAATGAAGTTATGACTGCAAATCTGCAATTCACCTGTATTTCAATCAGTATGTATGGACTAAGTTCTTCAGTTATACTGGAAATGAAGTTGTGATGTTAAAATTCCATTCAATCACACAATAAATTTGTCTCTTTCATTAAAATGTTTCATCCTGGAATCACTCCATATTGCTGGCAAATTGATTTAATGCCACTGTTTTCAACTCCAAGTAAAACGAGCCACAAAAGAGCAAAAGACAGGAAGGGAACAAAAGAAGAAGAAGATAACTTGCAACATATATTATTACCTTTCTCCTCTCCTTCGTAATAAGTGTGGTGTCCATCGTACTCTCCATACTTGAAATCCTCCTGCGATCAGCCCCAACCAACATAGCTTCAGATCATGTCTCCACTAACATGCACATGCTCTACCTCAACTAGAAACGTTAGAACAGGGACTCAAAAGGGGTCGTATCAGAAGCTGCAGAACTTACTTCATCGACGCTGTTCATGGCCCAACGGTCCACCGGGTCCTCATTCAGGTCCGGTTCGATCTCGGATAATCCGGCAGCGTTCAGTCGGCGGGGCGAGCTCAGTCCCCGCGACCCGAGCCGGCGAAGAGCCAGGGTGTCGGGACGCGGCGCTCCTCGCGCGACGTCGACGGGCTTAGAGGAAGGGCGAGGGCAGAAGATTCCGGGCACTGAGTTCGCTGAGAGAACGCAGAGCGCCATTGTTGGCCTTCGGCTTCCTTCGCTGGACCGAGCGTTTTGTTTTTTTATCTTCGTTCTGCGGCTGCTCCCGGTTGGGAGGTGCTAGCCAATGGGATTCTCCCACGTGTTGGTTTGGAAGTCCCTGTTTCTTTTTGGGGATGGCGTGGCATCATCCCGTTGGATGCATAGCTCATTACTGGTAGAACCGAGTGCATGATATGTGACCACACCAACTGAAATTGAACGGTAACGAGGTGATGTCGATGACGATAATATATTTTAAGATTAGGAAAAATAGAAATAAATATACAGAATTTTGAAATATCAAGGAAATCGCTCCGTTTATTTCGTCGAAAATGAATGGTTCAGAAAATAATTTCATAAAAGTAATTGAATGTATTGTTTGGAATAATTAACCAATGAAATATATTTTTATTATCGATAACAATTTATGTCTGAACATTTTCGTGGACAATGAAAATACTTTTCGTTCGTTCATTTTTCTAAACGATATAAACAATAAGTTTTAGGAAAATATTTTTAAAAACATTCATTTTCCAGCTAAAGAACTGGAGGCTTGGTCGCATAATTACCATTGGTCCTCTACTCTTTTTTATTGAAAGTTTTTAGGGAAAATGACACAAACAGTCCCTGATTTTTTACTCAATGTACAATTTGATCCCTAAACTTTTAATTTGTTCAATGTAGTCCCTGAACTTTAACCCAATGTTCAATATGGTCCATGAACTTTCAATTTGTTCAATGTGGTCCATGAACTTTCAATTTGTTCAATGTGGTCCCTAAACTTTTGGTACATGTTCAATATAGTCCCTGAACTTTATAAAAATGTTCAATATAGTCCTTACATTAATTCAAGTTCAGGAACTATATTGTATATTTTCATATAGTTCGGGGGCTAAATCGAACATGTACCAAAAGTTCAGAGACCGCATTAAACAAATTAAAAGTTGAAGGACCACATTGAACATTGGATTAAAGTTCATGGAGTATATTGCACAAATTAAAATTTCAGGGACCAAATTGCATATTGAATCAAAATTCAAGAACTGTTTATGTCATTAACCCCTGTCAATTTTATTACGAACTAGCTTAGGCATTAGCATCAAGATGAAAATGCCCCGCAACCAGACACAAACACACGGCGGAGGCGATGGACGGACATTGAAAAAAATCTTGCAAAGTCCCGCCCGGTCGGCACCGCCCATCGCCGGAGCCAGATTCTCCACCAATGCCGCCGTAGCTTTTGGGCAGTATTCCGAAATAATAAATTAATGGACACATATGAAGTCAGTCCACGTCAGCACAACAGCCTCGTATTGACTTCAAGCACACCCCCCCCCCCCTCTCTCTCCTTTGACTTTCAGTCACACTTCGTTGACACTCTCTCTCTCTCTCACCGACTTACGCTCTCTCATCCTGCTCGCTCCGGCGCGTTCCTCTCCCGGCCGGTGAGTTTCCCTTCCTACCGTCTTCCCCACCTCGTGGGCTGGTTTTGGAATGCGCAGTCGGAATCCCGAATGGTGGTTCCTTCCGTCTTGTCTGATTGTTCGGTACCAGCGGACGCGCGTGCGAGTGGCGACGGAGCATGAAAGTGGGTTCGGGTGATCATCACCCGTCACCCGCCTCGTGTGTTTTTTTTCTTGGGTCTTCAATGGAACACGGATGGCACTTGCATCGTTCGAAGGAATCGATCGTTTTTGCTTTAGCGTGAAGAAAGTGCTCTTGAATCATGAGGCGAAAGATTAGTTCGCTACTGCGCTCGGCGGGTTGGCCGCGTTTTCATAGGAGTTCGATTTCAGCGTACGTGGGAAGAGAAGTCATCGAATGGGCTTGATGTCGCTTGTTGCCAAAACTCAACTCTGCTGGACCGTGCATCGGATGACTTAATTGGTTTCGTGTTGGTAGTTTAGGCGAGGCTTGGCTGGTTCATTCGCAATGATTGGTTGAGAGAAGTTATAGCAGGTTGTGCTATGAGAGGAATCTCGTGTTTATCTTGACTTCTCGTGACGGACTCGTGCGTCTCGCAGTCCGATTTATTGATTGTTTACTTTGAAACTATGCTCCAACAGTCAAGGAGATTGAAGAAGAGTTTTGCTGTTTTCTGTGAAAGTTCATCAGGAGTTAGTTTGTGGCGTAAGAAATGATACTCGTTAATTGTTAGTTAGAGATGAAGCATGATGAATGAACGCCATCGATATAGGTTGTAGGAACCATTGATTTTTGCAACAAGAGTTGTTTAATGCCACGGAAAATATTGGGTTTCTGAGTTTTCTCTTCCCTTTTCATTAGTTGAGGTTGAGAACTGCCACTCTTTTCAATTGGCACTAATTTGACAATAGTTTTTGGATTGCATATTAGAATTTACTACACCCTAACATAGTTTCTTTTCTTTGCTTCCATTTGCACTTGAAAATTCTTAACCTTGTTTGCCGTGGATGTTTCTCAGGCTGTCCCTCACATGGAGGCGCATTTAGGGATGGACATTGCGACTGAAGAAGACTATGCTTCCCAGTCTCGATTACTTAAAGAGTTCACTGACATTCGCAACATTGACAAGGCATGGATATTTAAGTCCGAAAATGGTATCGGTGCTTGTCTCATCTGCTATCTCCATACTTACTCTTCCTTAGATAGACACTTTGATGAAAGTGGTGATTGTATGTGATAAATGGTTATAGGAAAAGGCTCCAAGGGTATGTTTTCACTTAGCCAGCCAGATCTTCTGGCAAACAAGATGAGGAAATTCATCCTATCTGCTCATATCTCCAGCGAAACTAGCAAATCCACAACCTTTCAATGGGCCCCATTCTCCGTCGAGACGGAAAACGCTTCTATTATTGTTCCTTCACCCTCGGGCTCCAAGCTTCTTGTAGTGAAAAATTCTGAAAATGATTCTCCAACTCGATTTGAAATCTGGGGTTCATCTCAGTTGGAGAAGGAGTTCTGTGTTCCCCAATCTGTCCATGGTTCTGTGTTTACAGATGATTGGTAATAAACTATATCAGTCTCAAGCTCCAATGAATCTGCTGTATAATGTCAGTAGAAAACTGAAATGATCTCAGAATGGATAGGTTCAAGGGGATATCTTGGAGCCACAATGAATCTCTCATTGCTTATGTTGCGGAAGAGCCGGCTGCTTCCAAGCCCAACTTCGACAGTTCTGGCTATAAAAAGGGTAACTCAAATGAAAAAGATTGTTGCAGCTGGAAAGGTCAAGGTGACTTTGAAGAGGAGTGGGGGGAAACATATGCAGGAAAAAGGAAGCCAACTCTCTTTGTTGTCAATACTAAGAGGTCCCACTGTGTAGTTTTAAAATACTCTGCTCACTAGCAGAAGTTCGAAATTGCAACTTTAACATCTGAATTCGCCGGTTGTGTGCAGTGGAGAAGTACGAGCTGTTCGAGGAATCACGAGCTCTCTTAGTGTTGGCCAGGTCATATGGGCACCATCGGATGAATATATGGTTTTAGTTGGGTGGTCATCAAATCTAAGGAAGTTTGGCATCAAGTATTGCAACAACAGGCCTTGTGCAATATATGCGGTTAAAAACCCATTCCATCAATCAGAAGCTGATAAAGTTGATCTCAAGTGGGTACATCCTCAATTGGTGTCCTGCTCTTGCAAAATCTTTCTTTTATGTGATTATTATTGATATAACTGTTAAATGTGATTTCAAGAATTCAAATACATTATCCAATTTTGTAGAGCTGATGCTGGTGAAGATTCTCCTTTGTGTAATTTAACGCAGAGCATCGGTAGTGCTTTCTTTCCGTGTTTCAGGTATGCTCTTCTTGGCTCTTAGGATATGTTCTTCATTTGTTATTTTTTCGACTATGAGTAAGAATAAGTTCTTGATTAGACTTTGGAAGCACCTGTCACCTGTCACCTGTCACCTCAGAGAATGAGTAAGAATATGTTCTTCACCTCTGTTCCGTAATTTTGAGCTTCTTTGGTATATGCGTACTCATTTTTGCTGTATTTTATCTTTTTCTGCTGTTTTATGCCCAGCTGGAATTCCCTGGCCCGGGTGGGTGTGTTGCAATGTTTTCATTTCTGAAGCTTATATAACAGTGCTATTATCATGGAAAAAGAGTACTAGGGTTAGCTGTTTGTGACCGACCTGTCTATATACTGTTGCGATGTATCTCTAATATCCAAATATGATAACTATCCAGCTTTTCTTAAACTGCCAGTGCACTATTATGTTTACTCAATAGAAGCAATTTTATTTGAACGATATAATATTAGTGGTAATATGCCTGTTAATCTCAAGAACTGAAATGGTTTTCTAACCAAATGCTTCTATGCAAAATATCAATTCTCAGCCCGGATGGGAAGTACCTCGTCTTTTTATCAGCTAAGAGTGGAGTGGACTCTGGAGCGCATTGGGATACTAATTCACTCCATAAAATAAATTGGCCAATGGATGGGAAACTGAGCCTACACAGAAGTATTGCCAATGTGGTGAGTTTTGTCATTTTTTGTCTTGCCTAATTGAAGTCTGATGGATTTCACTGCCTCACTTCATTTGTTTGTGTCGTATGTATTGCACGAAAGATGATACTATCCTGCTGATATGTCGCCGTCTTAATTCTCAGTTTAAAGACATAGGCACTCAAGCAGGCGAAAAAAACATGGCCAATATTTCTTTGTTGTTTTTCCATCCTATGTGGTGCTTGATTTAATAGAAAAACTTCATTGGATGTAGGTGGTTCGTTGACTAATTAGTGGAGCTTTCCGTGAAATGTGTTTTGCATGATTGGGTTTGAGGATTTGGACCCTCACTTATAGCACTTGCAGTAAAATTTGCGCTGATCTAATCTTTGGTATACTTATGCTATAAGAAACATGATTGGTTCCCTATATTTTGTGTTGTGAATCTGAAGTATGTGGACTACAGTGATATTTACTTTGACAATGGATGCTGCCCAGACTTACTTTTCTTGTGTTTCTCTAATGCGTCTTCTTTGTCGGCTTATTATAGTCCAATCCTATATAAGTGTAGGTCCCCATCATCATGAATGCTGAAGAAGGGTGCTTTCCTGGGCTTTACTGCACCAATGTGCTTGCTAACCCGTGGCTTTCTGATGGATGCACAATGATCCTGACTTCCTCATGGCGGAGCAGTGAAGTGATACTTGCGGTTAATGTGCTAAAGTAATAAATTTTTGTTTGTCACTACAATACTGTTCGATTTATGGATTTTGTTGGTTAAAGATTCTTTGTTGTAATTGAACTTAACAGGTAAATGCTCATCTGTATGCAGTGGCAGTGTATCACGAATCAGCCCTATGGAGTCGGATGCTTCATGGGAAATTCTTGCTCTTGATGGGGACAACGTTATTGCTGGTAACCTGATACTGTGAGTTGCCTGTCTATTGTGAGAAAACAATATGACTTGAAATACAAGTTTATACAATTTGCCTTTTCAGTTTTTAGCAGTCCGGTAGATGTGCCTCAGCTCAAGTATGGTTATCTTATTGATAAAATACCATCAAGTGCTTCATGGAGTTGGTTGGATATTTCAAGTCCAATATTCAAATGTTCTGAGAAGGTCGTAAAATACTTTTTTCGTTCCATATTGGTGTCAAGTGCCTGCAGGTTACTTTTCTACATATGGCCTAATCTACTAAAATTCCTCTCATTACAGGTAGAAATGTTGCTTGCGTCTTGTCAATTTAGGCTAATTAAAATTCCAGTCAAGGATGTTTCTACTTGTACAACAAGAGGTAGCATATGTTATCTGTCTTATTTATGAAGAGTATACCCACCTGTATTCGCTGATGTGACTTTGTTTGTGACTTTGTGGTTGATGTGCTTTTAACATGTATCTATGATTTTCATCCTGAAATATCTAGTAAAAGGTTTTCCCTGTATGCTTGCTTAGTAATGAAGTGATTAGATACTTTTCGTGTTACTGCTTATGGTGCTTTTCGTTCATTACATCATTCTCATCCATTTGGGGATGAAGTAGTCTTGTTTACTATGGAGATATTCTACTCTCTTTTCTTCTTTTTTTCGCATTGTCAGCTTCTTATTGGTGCTACCAGTAAATATCATCTGCTCCTCCATGAAAATCTCGTGTTGTTATTTTGGTTGGCACTTATGTATGTGTGTCCTTTCGTTGATACATTCCCGTGCTTATTCCTTTTCATGTCAACTTGATAAATTAGTGCATTTGTGCATCTTTAGAAGTTTCCTCCAGACTTAAAGTTCTTAGATATGTGTACACGTATGGACAACAGTAAGTTCGATTTTGATGTCTTGGTCAACATAGTCTTCCTTTGTAAGCAATGCGGTAGCTTGGACAAAGATCAGTCTCCTTCTTACATGCATTTACTTGTGTTGACGAGCTTCATACGTTAGTATTTGCAAATGTGCAATTTAATAGTTGCTGCTCATTTACATATCCTAGGCATCTCAAGGTTGCGTCCTTTTATTGCAATTCATGTTTTCGCTGTAATGTTATTATTGGTTCATGTACCACGACATTGTCCTTGCTCAAGTAGGTTCGCAAGGATTCTGACAAAAACACAAAAGATTTTGAGGATTGCTTGAAAGTTTGAATAAAATGATTGGTGAGGAGCATGAAACAAGTGCGATGGAACCCGTTCATAATGCCAACTAATTTCTTATAGTCGAACAAAGGCTTGGATGATCTGTTGATCATGCACAGAAAGAGCTAGAATTAAATGGAAAGAGTGAGAATATGAGTTAGTGTCTTTTTCGAGATGGGCTTAGGGAACTCTAGATATGGTACATGGGGGCCTTGGGGATCATAAAGGCTACTGGATGGGGAAACTGACTTTTCTATAGTAGGATCCTGAGTTGAATTGTGTGTCAGAAGAAGTGAAAAATCTTAATCGAACTTAGTTAATTCATATCCCATACCTCGGTTCAACTTGTTCCTTCGGTATAGCATGCCAGAGGCCAAATGAGTTCTTTAAATGTCATAGCCAGTAGCTGTTTCATTCCCATTTCAGAAGTCTAAGATCTCATCTTACGATTATAGTTAAATACTGCTTTTCATGGTCTGTGTACTTGATATATTACAGGTGCTACAAACGACTTTGAGGCAATTTTTGTATCATCAAAATTGAAAAACGACGTGCCTGATCCACTAATCGTGATCCTTCATGGTGGGCCACATTCTGTCTCCACTTCAAGTTTTTCAAAGTCCGAGGCTTTTCTGTCTTCACTTGGATTCAGCTTACTAATTGTGAATTACAGGTAGGTCTTCTGTTGTCCGATTTGCAGAAGATATTATTCAGTTTGGTTCCTTCAGCAAATGTAAGACTCTATAATTAGCTTGTAACCCAATGTTTTTAACACCGGACCATTGAACAAACTACTTGAGTGACTGATTTGCATGCAACAACTGGCTTAACCGCTATTTTGCTCTGCATCCATCTGATCTCCAAGATCCAAGCTAACATGGCGTGGCTTCTTATATGCCCCCTTGTGCCAATGCTTTGTCTGAATCTCTTCTTGCATCATTTTGTTTTGCATTTTCTTACTGGTTATGTTAAGTACATCAAATCAAGTATCATTAAATTAAGCATCATATCATTGAAAAATTGCATGTCTCTGTTTTCTGTATTGCGTTCCCAAGGTTGAGGCCTGGGTTTAGAACACCACCCGCACGATTTTTCGAATCCTTCTCCAGCAGAACTGGGTTGAACCAGTTTACCTGGTGGAAAAGCTTGCTTTGATTGGATCACTCGTTCAAATGTGGTTTGATCTGAAGTACAATTTAGTGCCGCGAACCGAACTGAAACTTAGACAGATCCACTACTCGATGGTTGAACCGGACAACTAGTTTTGACAAATTGCGCACAGAGGGAGTTTCTTTCTTTAACTGTCTCCAATCTATCCAATGCTAGAGAAGAAAGCCTCTTCACTTGTGAAAGTCAATAGACTGCACTTGATAGGGGGAATCATACCGATGTTCTGCCTTTTTAGTTTAGATGTTTTTGTAATGCTAGGTCACAATGTGATGCAGTGTGGATGAAGACCGCAGATATCTTCCACTCTAAATCATTTTGGGCTTTGCTTTGGCATTCAAATATCCATAAGTCTATGTTCTAATTTCTCCTATCATCAGGAGAATTGGTAATTTGGTATTAAGATTGTGAAATAAGTATTCCTTATTTTACGGCTTTTCCCACTTGGGTAATTGAGAAATTGGTACAATTAGTTTATATGTGTAATTCACAAAACGATCAGAAAGCTAGCAGCTTATACAGAATTTATTAAACGAAACTGACCAAGCTGAATAAAATAGAGGATTTATGTGGATGTGTTTTGGTGTCTGAATCTTCAATTTGTCTTTGTTGTCCTGCCTTAAATAAACTGCGCATTTGAAACTCTGTAATATAATGTCTAAATTTTGACCAAAAAATATTATAATGTCTAATTAAGCAGAAAGTACTATCTTACTTTGTAGATTGCATATGGTATTGGCATGGATGAAATATTACATCCATAGGGCTTCGAGAGATTTTTTGTTTTTGTATAGTAGATTCATTAAGAGTGTTTTAAAATACTTTTTTGGCTGAGAAGTTGTCTCAAAGAATGCTGAGTGGCTATCTCCTTCTAACCGGGGATTCTTGTGGCTCAGAATCGTCCTAGTTGCAAAATTTAGTCTTTTACAAGATCAAGCATGATAACACATAATAACATGCACCGGAGATTTTAGCGTTTCGATTGTAATGGCCTCTGTTTTTCCCTGCTTATATCATGAAATGATTTTTCATCATTGATATTCTCATTTCTTTTCCACAATATCTTATGTTCATTCATTCAGGCTTTTTCTAATGTTATACATGCTTGCAGAGGTTCATTAGGATTTGGTGAGGAAGCATTGCAATCACTACCGGGAAAAGTTGGTTCACAGGTGTCTGCTGTCATTTGTTTTCTTTTCTATTTAATCCTTCACTATAATGGAAGAAAGAGTCCTAAGATTTAATTTACTTCTGCAATTCAATGCATGCCTTCACTTCTGTCATGTGCAGGATGTCAATGATGTACTTACAGCAATAGATCATACCATCGAGATGGGACTTGCCAATCCATCCAAAATAGCCGTGATTGGAATTTCTCATGGTGGCTTCTTAACCACCCATTTGATTGGCCAGGTGGGTGGAATGACAAATAGATGCACAAAACTTGAGGCTTTTCTCTGTCAATCTCATGTCAATTCCTCTTAACCATATAACTGGCACTCTTCTGACCCTAAAGAAGTTTAAATAGTCAGCAGACTGAATCCTACTGTTCTCTTGTGACTTGCATATATGTGCAGGCACCGGATAAGTTTTGCGCTGCTGCCGCAAGGAATCCTGTTTGTAACCTCGCATTAATGGTCGGCACTACAGATATTCCCGATTGGTGCTACGTAACCTCATATGGAGTCAAAGGGAAGAATATTTTCACAGAAGCACCTTCAGAAGAACACTTGAGTCTCCTATATAGCAAGTCTCCCATCTCACATGTTCATAAGGTACACCATAAATGAACCACATTATATGAGACGATTGTTCGACGTGGTCCAGAGCTTTGTAGAACCTTATCAAATTACACTTTATGCAATTTTTACACTGACTTTATGACAAGATAGGATGCGGTCAATACAGCCAGAACCACACCTGTAACCCAGGTGAAACTTTGAGTGAAATACCATCGTTGGCGATGCTTTTTTCTTTGCGTATTTGGACTTAATAACAGTGAATCTATCACCAAGTCTTAATGATTTCTCTTCCATGTTCTTTTTCTTTAAGTGAAAGCTATACTTGATTTCCTTCACCTCTCCTTCCAACAATCTTCTTTTCCTCTTTCTGGCCTGACTTCTTTAGAGGAACAGCTTTCTCCTATGAATGGTTTATCCAGTAGCGATAGATTTATCATCCTTGATAATCATTGCAGGTCAAGACACCTACCCTTTTCCTTCTTGGTGCTCAGGATCTCCGAGTCCCAGTCTCTAACGGGTTACAGGTAGGATTCATTTCATTTTCTTTCAAGATCGGACCATGCAGACATAATCTTGTGGGTTCATTTACTTTTTCAATAGAGTGACAACTTATATATACCGACATAGTGGTAGAGATAATTATCTTCTTATCTGAGCCCGTATGCTTTTTTAAATTTTCTTCACGTTACTTTGCATGGAAGTCTGTCTAATATACTTGCTAACTAATACTGCTCTTCGAACTTTACAGTATGCCCGAGCACTAAGGGAGAGAGGAGTAGATTGTAAAGTCATCTTATTTCCCCACGATGTTCATGCTATTAAAAGGTGAAGGTCCATTTTCCGATATTTAAACACATTTTTGTTTGTCGTAAGCATTCTGTATTAAGTTTGTTGTGTTTCATTGTTCATTTACTCTAAACCGCCGTCCCTCTTTGTGCAGACCACAATCTGATTTTGAAAGCTTCCTGAATGTTGGAGTATGGTTCAAAAAGTACTGCAAATGAGCAAGAGAATGAAGCTGCGCCGTTGCTGTTTGGATAACAGTCCGGATGCCTCAAATGTGGTATTCGGTCATTGTCTAGTAATATTATTTGACAAAATTATTGTTCAATTAAGAAGGACAGAATCCTCAACTCATGATATATGGCTTGCTCCTAATGAGCATGCGTATTGCGCTATTCCTCTTCTACTTTTCGGCCAAGCCGGTCCTCGTTTTGTAGTAATAAGATCGACACTGGATGCTTGTAAATCAAATATGCTTCTTTAACCAAATTTATGATGTCCTTCAGCGCTCTCGGGATAGTTTTTGAGGATTTCCTCTGGCCTTTTCAAGCTACTGGTGAACCTTGATATTGGTATGGCACAGGGCTCTAGTCCCATTCACTTTCCTGAGGCCTGCTTCTTTTACTTCATGTAAAGTTTTCCCGGACTAACATCTTCCATCAATTTTGAAAGTATGACATTAGAGTTCCCTTCATTACTTGATGTGCAATCTAGTCCACCGAAATCAGTCGGTCTCCGATCAAGGATCCAGCCTGCCAACTGCAGATAACCGATCGAGGCGTCCGATCTGTGACGCGGATTGGCCTTCCATTGCTTAAGTCAACAGAAGGTATGTAGAAGAAGGTAAGGTGACGAGACTTGGCAATTTGGGAGTGCATAGCCGACCAGGGAGAACCTGTATTTTGCATAGTAACTTAATAAAAGGTGAAGTTTGCCGCATTTTGGATGGTCTTGTATCCGATGCACGTGGACATGGCTGTTCTCGTGCATTCCAATGAAACTAGTCAAACCGAAAAGTTCGAATACCCCAAATTATCAAAGAGACTCCAATCTCGAAAGCCTGCATTCTCCACTGCTAATCCCAGATGGAATAGCACTGAAGCTGGATCGCTCACCAGAAGTGATGGCTTGTATAATCTAAACATAGTGAGGAGTGGGCAACGACTTCTACACCGACGCTTTTATGTAGCATTACATTTACAAATACTCGTAGAACATGTAAGGATAGATATTTTTTACATTTTACTTTTTTTGCTTCATTTAAATTGTGTAACAGGCGCATTTTGAATCATTTCTAATTCGAAACATATGAAGCATTCAGAACATATACATGTTGAAACGTAAATTCACATATGTTTCTCATAAATTTTTTTTGGAAAAATACCACAAAAAACCCCAAACTATGTCACTTGTGACAAATTTACCTTGAACTTTTTTTTGTGACACGAAAAACCCCAAACTATGCCACTTGTGACACATTTACCCCACAATACTTTGGCCCATGAGCATTTTCGTCTTTTTCCTTTTTTTTTTTTTTTCTTTTCTTCTCTCTTCCCTCCGCCGGCCATGCGGAGGGAAGAGAGAAGAAAGGAAAAAAAAGAACAGAAAAAGGAAAAAGACGAAAATGCCCTTGGGCCAAAGTATTGTGGAGTAAATGTGTCACAAGTGACATAGTTTGGGGTTTTTCGTGTCACAAAAAAAAGTTCAGGGTAAATTTATCACAAGTGGTATAGTTTAGAGTTTTTCGTGTCACAAAAAAAAGTTCAGGGTAAAATTGTCGCAAGTGGCATAATTTGGGGTTTTTGGTGGTATTTTCCCTATTTTTTAAAAATAATTTTTCAAAGTTTGACAGAAAATAAAAGAAAGTACGAAGTATTTTTTCACTATTACTTAATTCTAAAAGGATAATTACTCAAATGGTTTGTGAACTTTGGCTCAACGTGCAATGTTGTCTCTGAATTTTTAGTTTGTACAATATGGTCCTTGAACATTAGCTCAATGTGGAATATCATCCTTGACTTTTTAACCCGTTTCTTGAAAATTTGTTAAATGTTCAATATAATTTCTAAATTATTATATCCCTAAATTAGCTAGTTTAGAGACCAAGTTGAACGTACATCAAAACTTTATGGACCACATTAGATAAATTTAAAGTTCGGGGACGATATTGTACATTGAGCCAAAGTTGACGGATCATTTGTCTCATTTTCACAATCCTAGACAAGCGGGCCTTAAAGTGAAGCTGATTTATTTCTTTATTTTATTTTTACCTCAAATGTTAATATCTTTTTATGATTGTGTTACTATATTATTAGATTTGATCGTGTACTTTAATGTATGTCTTTGAGTTGAATGATGAAAGTGTTAATAGCTAGAATTAAGATTAATTTTTCAACAAAAAATTCTTTTTTTTCGAGAAATACAGGGCAATATAAGGAATCCAGAAATCTATGGAGCCTATAGGTTTCAGATTTCAGGTTCCAAAGTGGTTCCTATAGCCTATACGGTAGGATTTAGGTTTTGCAAATTTGGATTAGATGCCGATAAGGTATGTTCCAAGGTAGTGCAAAAACCATAGCCGCCCTGAACCCATGCACCCATAAACTACATTGATGCCAAGTTTCAACTTCACAAAATTTGCATACCCTTAAAACTACATTTTTTAAGCATGTGGCCATGCAATTAACAACATCTTTTACTTTGACCCCCATATGATTCTTCGAACAAATATTTTGACTCTAATTAATCTTAATAAACCAAGTTGTTTATTTACAAGTAATAAGCCCAAGTTCAACCAAAAGAAATCATTCAAATCATGAATGGACCTAATCATTCAGATACTCAAATCAAGAAAAAGAATAATAAAACATTGAGGTATTGGTTCATGAAATTTCATTTGTGTGTGATTATGATCTCTAACTTTCCTTTGCCTTGAATACGGTCATCGTTTTTGCACGACTGTTAAATTTCAAGAATATTATGGAATCCTTTGATTTATAGTTCGGTCAAGTACAGAAATAGTGACCTGAATTTTCATGTGATCTTTAATGTCCTCACACTTTGTTGGGATTTATTCTATATCGGTTATGGAAAGGGGTGGTTTGAATCTCCATCAACATCCACCTTCATCTTTGGTTTCTTTCTCCAAACCAAACTAGATTCCTTTCTTGAGATATCCACCAAATACCGATACACATTAAAAGTGGGCCACCATCAACCATTGGCTCTAATACCAGTGTTAGGTAGTCTTTGGCCTCTTTTACTCCACAAGCTAGCTCAAAAGATGAGGCTGTCTCTCACATTTATAAATTGACCGTTAGCCCCTTTCACAAATAATATGAGATAAACCCCAATACTGTCACCTTGCATATGGCCTAAATTTGAAGGATATACGTCCGACCTATGGCATAGATCACGCTTACGTGGATATTATATTATACGTATTGATTATTTATTTTGTAAAACAAGGGCTTACTTTTGACCGCACGCAAGAGGAGTGAGAAATTTTTCCTGAAAACGAGGGCGGCTTTATAAAATCGGTCTTGCGTTGCACGCATGATGTTTGTCACCAGTCCAAGTCAACTATAATATTATCAACAGGACTATGCATATTTCTTATTCTTGATATAAATCATTCGGATTCCTAAAAACAACCTCTGCCTCGAAGTCAACTATAACGTATAAAAACCCTTCAGGCTAAGCCTCCATTTGATAGGCGAAAAATATTACATTTTTGAAAAAAAAATTTCAGAAAAATGACAATATTTTTTACTGTTTGGCTAAAATCTGAAAAAGAATAAAAAAAAAAATTTCCGTCGTTTGGAAAAGAAAATCTAATTTTATTTTCCCTAATAGACATCCACTACTCAAGCATTAGTAACTTGCGCACTGGTAGTTGGAAAATCAGGCACGAGCACCCGAGTCTGGCCTCGATGGACCTCGACCTGGGCGCCGGGGACCTGGGTACGAGCATATGAATCTCGGGCATGAGCACGAGCATTAGTCCCAAGTCTATAGAAGCCAGGTCGAGAACCCGATGCCCATGCCCTGCTCCTTGGTGCCTCGGCCCAGGTCCATAGAGCCCGAGCCTAAGGCCTCAGTACTCGTGACCCCTTGTCATCCCAGCCTCGAGTTCACTAAGGCTAATCATTGGACCCCAGTGCTTGGGCCTGGGACTCACGCATGGGTGCCAAGGTCTCGAACTCGGCATCAATGGATCTGGGCTCAGGCACAGGCACGGGTCCTCAAGCTCGGGTGCTAGGGACCCAGCCACGGACACTGGGAGCCCGATTAACGGGTATTCAGGCACGGGCTTTGTGGTCCCTAGCAAGGCCTTTATGGTCCCGAGTCCGGTCTCCATGGACCAAGGCCTGGGCGCCAAGGACCTAAGGCATGGACACTGAGGCCTCAAGTCCAGCTTTGTAGTGGACCTGGGCTGGCCTCAATGGACTTGAGCCCGGGGGCTGGGGATCCAAGTACGGGCACGGGCACTAGGGTTTGGGCCCAACCTCTATGAACTTAGGTTGGGGCGTCGGGGAGTCAAGTAAGCGTATTAGGTCCTAGGCCCGACTTCTGTGGACTCGAGCATGGGCGCCGATGCCTAAGCCCAACCTTTGTGGATACAGGTTTGAGTACCGAGATTTCGAGCCTGGCGTCTTTGGAACCGACCTTTGCCTCTATGGACCCGGCGGCCCCGGCCTCTAGACCCGGCTCTCCTGCCAAGTGTCCGGAAACGAGCGTCGGGATTCCTACACCCAAGCGAAGAGTTTTTACTCTAAACGCCGATAGTTAGTCAATTTTCTGAATTTAAACTTAGATTTTTCGTTGACTCATTTTTTCTGAGTAATCCGAATGTTTGAAAATGATGAGAATATTTTTTTGAAAAACGTATAAAGTCGTTTTTTTTATTTTTGTCGACTAAAGTCCTTCCCATTATCTTATTTTCTTTAGCATAATTAAAGCCCAGATTCCCCACTGTCTGCGGCCTTTTCGGGACATGACATCCTCGGCAAATGGAATCAATCCACGTGAGCTTCGCCGCCCCGAGTTGGTCACCTGAGCTTCCACGACAGCGACGCCGTCGACGACCTCCTCCTCCTCCTCCTCCTCCCTTTCTTCTTCTTCCTCCTCCTCCTCCGCCTCGCCCTCGCAGCTCTCGCTCTCGCTCTCGCTCTGCACTTGCACCTGCGCTTGCTCGCAACTCCCTGCCGCCGCCGGTAAATGCGCTTTGCTCAGTCGTTGTTCCTTGTTCTCTTCGCTTACAACGCTAGACCTCGTATCAGTCGGTCAGTCTGTCAGTTCCTTTTTCCGCCTATGTCCGTCTTGCGTGCGGCAAAGCCGTGTCGAGTTATTCTGTGGCAGATGATAAATTGGGTTATGTGGAGCTTTTGAGAGCGCATTATCGGTACGCGTGGAAAGAAACGCAACCGAATGTGCTTTGATGTTACGCGTCGGCAAAACTGTGTCGAGCTATGCTGTGGCGGATGATGAATTGATTTTCGTTTTTA